AAGTTTAAAAGGCACTTTTCCGCTGTGATTTTTGGATTGAGTGTGGAGTGTTATGTACAGTATGATGGGATGTATCATTTTAGAACCCCAGATTTAATTCCAGTCCAATTACTTTTGTTTATCTACCTCGTTTTCAGTGCTGTTTGGGGGTGCAGAAGTAAACACTGCCTGTGAAACTTGCTTTTTTGCCTAGATTCTCAGTATTCTTTCAGGTTATACATCTGGCCTGCCTCCTAGTCCCAGTGCTAACCATGAGTTCGAGATGAGAGGGACCACCACTCTGCCACCAATCTGTGTTTAAGTGATGAGAGCCATGTGCTTCTGCAGAATAAGCTTTGGGGATTTGGGGAAGGAGAGCAGAGAAATAAATCCAGCTGGTGACAATGTAGGACCTAGTTTTAGGAGTCAGTCCTAAAATAAATGGTAAGAAAGTATCTAAATTAGACAGTCCAGTGCCTGTAACTTTGCATCTTTTATTAAAGATGCATTTCTCATCTGTGTGCCTAAAGGGCTATGGGTTGAAATTGCTTTAACTACCACAGTGACATTATTTGCTCAATCCTACAGCAGTGGCCTGTCATTCAGCATATTAGCATACTGCTAGGTATTTGCAGTGGTATTTTCTTACCTTAAAATGGCTGTATGCTTTTAGTTGAATCGTAGTTGGTGGTAACTGTTTATTCAATCTCTAAAGTTTATTGGAGGCATTGACTTTCTTCTTTGCTGTCTTTTCTGAATGATGAAATGATGCATTCCTTTTCTTTTTCCAGAACACTCAGCTACTGTTTGTAAGCCACATGTTCCTTGTTTCACATGTTTACTGTATAACACTACAGCATATTTAATGTTAGCAAATACTGTATTTCAGGCTTCATGCACAAATACATTCCTGAAGTATGTTTGCCATCAGTTTAGGATTCAGTTATTTAATCTTCTGTTTGGTTTAGAGAAACTTGGGATTTGAGGTGGTGTGCAGGCCATTTTCTAGAATAGATTGTTCATTTTTTCATTCTGTAGTGTCCTTGGGACTTTTTTTAATCCCCCCTTTGTTTTGAAGATGAATCAGAGAGGGGGGTGTGTTGTGGAAAAGGCCATTGATTTGATAAATGTAATTTCTGGTGTTCATTTTTTTTAAACCAATCCAGACTGTAAAATTGTGACACTCAAACTTGGTAAAATCCTTTACAATTAGTATGAAATTTTGATGGAGCCAAATGCTTTCAGTTCACCATGGAAATAGTCTTTGTACGTGAAGGATGAACACAAACATTGGTCAGGGTCCTTCATAGCCAACATAGGCAGGGGCCTGGAATAGTGGCTAGGTGACACTGACATTATTTTCAACTGAGATAGTTGGAAGACTGTACAAACCAACAGTTTCCATTCTGGAAGGTTTTCTTTTAATTAAAAAAAAAAACCTCAAAAAGGCTAAAAGTCAAGCAAGAAGGGAAGAGAGAAACTGGGCTCTTGAGAAAAAAAAATGGGTGTAAAATAAACTCCTAAATGCGTGCTTGTCATCCTTCCAGGTTTCTGTTTTTGTTTTTAAGTTGCATTTCTTTTCCACTATAAGCTAAGATTTCAGATTGAGGTTTGTGGTCCAGAACATACCCTCAGCAGAAATAGTGACTGATCGGAAAGTGCAGTTGTTCAAGGTCTGTCATGCTCAATCACTTAAAGCTGTAATTTGTTTGATATGAATATTAAGCATGTAGACCTAGTGCAGCATGGGAGCCACTCAGGAAGTTTATGCAGTTAATAAACTTTCATGCATAATTTACTATGAAGTATGCAGAATTTCAGCCACTTCTTTACTCTTAACATTTAGTTGTATATGTGAACTCTCCTTTCTTAATTGGGGAATGTAGCATTATATAGAATGTTGTTAAACTTAATTTTAATCCTTCTTGACATTAACTTTTTTTTTTTTTTTTGTAAACCAAGTGATCTGCCTTTAAGCAGTTGTCTGATTTTGGTTCTTTGAAACTGTGATTTTTATTTCATTTGTACCCAACCATTGTAAGTATTTTGTTTTGTTTCTTGGAAATTTTGTTTTGAAACAGAAAATAAAGGCTGTGTTATAAAATGAGTATGGTATCTTATTAAAATGCTTTCATAGTCACTGCAATCACCTGGCTTAAACTGGTTCTTCATTTATCAAATGTAATTTTTAGCAGATTTAAAAGATTTAGTCCTATAGATTATGCTGACTGAACAAATTAACCAAGCCGTTGGTTACCTCTTGATATATAGCTCTAGCAAATTTTGAGTTTACCTCTTCACCACTCTTATCAATGAGCTATAATTATAACAGTCACTATGATTTTCTGAGTACCTATTGTGTTATCTAGGCTTTTACCTGTGATATTTTTAACTCATAAAACAATCCTATAAGCTGAGTCTGTTACTATCTCTACAGAGAAAATTTATGGATCAGAGAGATTAAAGAATTTGCCATGGTTAACACAGCTAGGAAATGGTGAAGCCTGGATCCAAACCCAGGTCTGTCTGACTCCCAAGCTCATAGGAAAAACCCCAGACCATACAACTATCAGATATACTGTAGGAAAAATAATCCACATACATTTACAATAAGTTTTCATCTATTATTAGGATTAGTAGGTGCTCTTTTTACATGTCTTTCATGAGGTTATATCCAGTGCTTGTTTCATAATTTCAGGAGTAGAAGTATGTGTTTATAGTACAAACAAGGATTCAAAATGTGCCCTTTGCACAAACTTATTAAGGAATTTCCTTTCATAGTGACAATGTTTATGGTACATCTTTAGGAAAAAAGTACATTTGGAAATTTCCCTCCCACATCTCTCATTTACCACACTACAATGACTTGGGAAACTGCCAAATGAGGTCCGATCATTTGTTCACTTGATAACTTAGAAGAATTGTGCATATGTTTATGCAACCAGCCCTGGAGGAAGATAACAGACCTATCAAAAATATCCAAGGTTAGCTGAGGATTTAAAAAATATTTTTTTAAAAAATCTATTACCTTTATTTATTGACCCAGTAACTCTGAGGCATTCTATCTTCGATGATTCCCTAAAGGAAGGATACAAGGTACATAGTGGAACAAGCATGGGTTTTGATTCATAGACCTCTCAAACCTCCACTGTCTCATTTGTAAAATGTGGTGGTTGTATTAAATGAGATATGCAAAAGCAGCTACCTCCATCCCTAATTTGCTAATTGTTTATTGTGAGATATCTCTGGTGACTTTCACACTAAACTTGTACTTGGGAAATCAGGCTGGTTTGGAAATGGGACCTCATTCTTATTACAGTTAATACAGATAGACTTTTTAGAGTCCAACAGACCCAGAGTTGTATTCTGGCTTTGTGAACTTGGGAAAACTGCTTAACTTTAACACCTCAATTTCCTTTTCTGTAAAATGGATAGCTGCCTCAGTTGGATTGTTTCCAGACTAAATGAAAAAGCATATAAAGGGCTCAGCACTATACCTGGTATGTAGTAGGTTTGCTCAAATAATAGTAATGACTACTTAAGGGACCTTACATTATCACTATTTTAAGAGAAGAGGAAACAGGTGACAAAACTGAACCCAACTTGTGAGTCAGTGTGAGATCTGTTGGTGGAAGAGATTAGGTATTGGCCCAAAAGGTCCTAGATGATGTAACAGAGTGAGGTCCAGAGTTGAAAGTGTTTAAGTTGGGGGATAAGACAATATAAAACCCATTTAAAATGTGCACCACTAGATAAAAGAAAGAGATGGCAGAATTGTCTGTGCCTAAAGAGTTTAGAAGGAGCTGAAGTAATAGTAGTAGTTGGGAAAAATAGAGTGGGGTCGGTCTTAAAACAGAAGCTCAACACAGAAATAAAGATGTACAGCATAGGTAATGGTCCAAATAGGAGCAGGACCTTGTGATAGATAGATGAAGAATTGGAAAGGACTAGCTCACATGTGTGTTACAAATGAGGAAATAGCCTCAGGAATTAAACCAGTATTTGTAAGGTTTCTCCATTCCAGCTCAGGTTCTCAACCCTGACTGCATATTAAAATCACCTGGGGAGCTACGTAATCTATGTAAAGCACAACAATGTGAATGTACTTAACACTATTGAATTGTACACTTAAAAATGGTTTAAGATGGTAAATTTTGTTGTATGTATTTTACCACAATTTAAAATAATAAATGTGTCTGTGCTCCACCCCTACAACCAGTATTGTTACATCCACATATTAATGTAATTAGGGTTGAGAACCACTGTCATTGTTTACTAATCAAATGACTTCCCTGCCTGCTATTAGCCAGTTGCTGGTTCAAGAAAAACAAGAAATATGGCAGCCTCATTAGACCTTCTAATGAACTATTTCCTATAACCATATGAGCTTATAGCCTCTCAAAGAGGCCCCAAGGTTCTGGGCAATAGAGAAAGCTAAGTGGGCCCCTTGCAGAAACTGAACAGCTAGTTGCTACCTAAGTGGAAGATATCAGAAGATTGAGTCCAATGTGAACTCTCCAGGCAAACTCTTTATGCTTCTCTCCACCCTTCATGATAAGAATGAAGATTAATTAGGTGCATACTGTGCCAGTTATTATGCTAAGCACTCTACATCATTTAATCTCCACAAGCTTCTGAGGTAAGAATCATTACCATCTCCCTTCTAAGCTCCTCGACTGCTGAAAACTGCTTTCTCCCAGTGTCCAGCTTTATTCCTGGCACGTAGTAGGTACCAAATCTGTTGAATGAATTAATGAGTCCCTATTTCACAGATACAGTAAGGGATCAAGAGGCTAAGTAACTTGTTAAAGTTAGATAGCTAATAAGGAGTTGAACTAGTATTGGAACCCAGATCTTGGCTCCAAAGCACGCCCCTTAACTACTATTCTGTGACATCTATCCCCTTCTGCTTTCAGGGCTTTGGCCTATGTTATCTCTACCCTCTCTGGCCTAAAGTTTCTCCTGTATTAGGTATGTTAAGACTCTTGTGTACAAGTAATAGAAATCCAATTTGAACAAGCTTAAACAAAAAGAGGAATTTATTATAAAGATGGTGGTGTCTCACAAAACCCAGGGATAATGCAGATGGACCTTAGGAACAAATAAATCAGGTGCTTGAATGCAGCCAGGATTTTTCATCTCTTCTCCAGCTCAATCCCAAATTCTCTGTGAAGGTACATAAAGGATGGCTCCTGCTGCAACCATGAGGATAAGGTAGAGAAGGTGGTAGAAAAGGGGTGCTGGGAAGACAAAACAACAGATGTTTACCTATACTCCTCCTCTTAACTGCCCATAAACACATGCCATTTTCCCCATAGCTACAATTCCAAAAATGCCCATACCTAACAGAATCCACGGATAAATGCAAGTCACATGCAACTTCTGCATCCAGAAGCAATGGCATGGCATAGACATGCCCCTTCCTCATCTACTTCAGTGACAACCTAAATGTGACTCCTCTTGATCCTGCAACCTTTAGTAAACTTAACTGCCACCAATAGATCTAACATGAGAAATACAGAAATAGATTAACCATGATCAAAATTCCCTTTTAGGAAAGGAGAGGGGCACACCATTATCAGCCACCAGGTCCAAGTATGCACCATTTCCACCTGGATAGGAATAAAGGAAATAAATTACGGGCATAGAAAAACTTATGCGAGTCAATTTACTGATGCACCCTCTCAACCAGTCTGTACTTGGACCTAGGGCATGTTCTAGAAGAGCAGTGATTCTCAAACTTGAGAGTGCATTACAGTCACCTGGAGGTGAGAGACCTGCAAAAACTTTTCTCAACACAAACACTCCCTTCAAACACCTGTGCCAAGAGACTTGACCAAACTTTAGTATGGCTTCTGGAAGCCTAAGGCTAGTCCCTGAGATGACCCATTTCCCATCTGGAAAGCTCAGGGCTGTCAGAACTTATAGTTTGCTCTAGCCAACACTTAAAGAAAGGCCCCGGACCTCCCTTTTTTAGAGCATTTACTAAAAAGGGCTTACAACTGTGAGTTCTTCCCCTGTCCCCTTGAGATGTATATGTATCTCTTACAACTCAGAAAGATACTTCTTAAAGATCTGAGAGCCATTCCTTTGAAATGTAATCATCAGAAAGGCTAGGGCCTCTATCTCAAAGTCTCTGTAGGATAGCACCCTAACTTCCGTAAGTGCCAGCTAGCAGACCTAGCTGGCCTAATTGCTTTTGCACTCTTACCCACTTTTGGTAATTTTTCACTTCTCTGACTCTCCTTGAGGCCCTGCCCCCTCCTTCTCTGTTCTCCCTCATCCTCACTTTACAACGCCCAGTCACCTCTGCACAACTGGGAACAGAGCCCAGCTTTTTCCCCTGCTGGCAGTAGTTACTGAATAAAATCCCGTTTTCACTGCTCTTTTTTTAATTTCAAGTTTTTATTTAAATTCTAGTTAACATATATGGTAAAACTGGTTTCAGGAGTAGAATTTAGTGATTCATCACTTATATATAACACTCACTGTTCATCACAAGTGCCCTCCTTAATGCCCATCACCCAGTTTTCACTGCTTTAACTAATGTCGAGTTTTGTTTATTTTGACATTACTTAAAACACAGATTGCTGGCCCCACTCACAGAGTTTCTGATTCTGGAGGCCTGAGAATTTCTAACAGTTTGTAGGTGAAGCTGATGTGCTGGTCCCGGGACCATACTTTGAAAATCACTGTTCTGACTCGTGGTCCCTACTCACTAGATATGATTTTCTAGTGATACAACTTCCTCAAAACCTCATTTGACTGCCTGTGGATTTCATTTGAGGGGACTCAGAATGCTAATAACAAGTCCAAGAATCTTGTCAAATTATGCTCTTTGAATCTTCAGATCTACTAAAGGGAATAACCTGGCTCATCCTGTTGCAGCTTCTATCTCTTAGCACTCTATCTAATGTTTTAACTTATTCCCCCTGGCATTCTGCTCAAGGTCTGCAGTTCAGAGCTTGGGTAGATAATAATAGGCTGAGTTCAAGGCTATGAGGCATCTTTCTCTTTAAAGATTTTATTTATGAGAGTGAGAGAGAGGGAGAGGGAGAAGCAGACTCCGCACCGAGCGCCGAGCCCAACGCGGGGCTTGATCCCATGACCTGAAATCACAACCTGAGCCAAAATGAAGTCTGGCGCTTAACTGACTGAGCAACCCAAGCGCCCCATCTCTCTTTTCTGATCTGCTGTGGGTATGTTACACCTACCCTCTCTTCCTTGCATTCCAGCTGAATGCATTTACAGAGGGAGGCATCATCACATTTGTGGGGGCTTGGAGAATAAGGAATCTATGGAGGCTTATACAGATAACCTCATTCCAATTACCTAGATGCCAATTTCCTAATCAGTGAAACATTTGACATAAGAGTTCTACTGCTCTAAATCAGCAAAGCCCATGAATATCCGACACTCAGCAATTGCAGATCTCTTGATACAGGCAGAGGGGCTGCTCTGTTTTGAGTGCCAAGAGCAATAAGCAACTGCTTAACTGCCAAGTAACACAGAATGCCAACTTGCTGTTAACTGCTGTGGGAGATCTCCAATCTCTGCCAGTTCCATATTTTAGGGTCTGTAAATTGCCACACTCCATTTCTCATATCAGTTCTTGAAGGTTTTTTGGTTTTTATTTTTTGGGTTTTTTTTGGTCCTAAGTAGTTTCTAACCCAATTCTGTCTGAAAAGTAGTAATAGGATATGGGATTGCCTCACAGAAACCAAGGACCAAGAATGCTTCAGGAATGATAAAGACCCTGGAACTTAAACACAAAGAAGACTCTCTCTCATCTCTGTGCTGAGAATCTGCATTTTTCTTCTCTTTCTGTAGAGCAGTATATTTTACTTCTGTCCCTCTGGTGGTAAAATTGCTGATAGCTTCCAAGTTTTATGCTTAGAGAAAAACTGATCTCTCTGATCCAATTCCAACTTTATAGGAAATGAGATTCTGACTGACCCAGCTTGGATTATTTGTCTACCTTTGACCCATTCAGCTATGGTTATAAGAACATGACAGTTTTTGCTGTAACTGTCAATGGGAGGAGGGTCAATTCTCAGAAAAGGAGGGCTGAGAGACAATCCAATAGGTGTTCACTGTACTAGAAAACCTCTGTTCTTTCCATCTTTCATCCCTTCAAGCCACTGCTCATTTTCAAAGAGTTACCTATGTGCACTGCTTCACCATCTATTTATTCCTTGCCAATCTAGCTTGTTCTATCTGTACTATTCTTTTATGATAAATTCCTTTTTGGAGCTTGAAGCATTTTCAGCCTTTGCATCCTACTAGACTGTTCTCAAACTTCATTCATCTTAACTACTCTTGGGTTCTGCACTTTTGCATTTTAACTCTGCCTGCCATTATCTCCCATCTTTCATTATTTTCCAAGCCAGATCTGGCTACTACTCGCTATTACAAAACAGATCTTGTTTTCTGCCCTCCTCCTGCTAAGAGTGGGCCTTAAAAGGCAGTCAGAAGACTGGTGCTACATCAGAATCAACTTAGAAGTGTGCTGAAAATCGATTTTTCCAAAAGATTATGATTCTGTTACGTCTGAAATTGTAGCCCTTGCAGTTATTCTGCAAGAGCTCCCTGACAGATTCACAAAGGTCCTAACTATAGGACACTGTAGCTCTATGAGTAGTGGAAAGGTACAACTTGAAGTTTAATTTGTGTTGGTGCTTATTTCCCTGACCAAAGACATTCTGAAAAAAAAAAGTGATCATTTCACTTTGTCTCTGCATTCCGTTGGGCAAATAATGTCAATTTCACCACTCATAAATTGGGGCCAAGAACTCTTGGAAGAATTACGGTGTTAAAAGTTAAGTGGGGAGACGCCTGGGTGGCTCAGTCGTTAAGCGTCTGCCTTCGGCTCAGGTCATGATCTCAGGGTCCTGGGATCGAGTCCCACATCGGGCTCCTTGCTCAGTGGGGAGCCTGCTTCTCCCTCTCCCTCTGCTGCTCTCCCTGCTTGTGCTCTCTCTCTCTGACAAATAAATAAAAATCTTGAAAAAAAAAAAAAAGTTAAGTGGGTTACTACAGAAAAGTTGGTTAGCACTTTTACGTTTCGTATGTGTCCCATCTCATTCATTAAAAGCTACGCATATTATTTTTCCCCCCGAAAAGGAAAACGCTCCCTCCTCGGGAATTTTAGCGTTGTTTAGCTGAACTCAATCCACTCTACTTCCTTTCCCATGATGCATCACTTCTCCCCCCAACTCCTTTTCCTGGTAAATAGCCTGAAGCAACTCGGCGGATGCAGGGAATTGGCGTGCAAATCCTAAACACGTTTCACGCCCCGCCACCTCGGAGCCTGGGACCGCAAGGGCAGCAAGGGGTGGTAATCTTGTTCCTCGACTGCATCCTGAGGCCATAGAGAAGACTACAACTCCCAGGATGCCCCTCCTCCCTGCCCCGCTCCCCCTCCCCCAGCTAGAAAGCGTATACCATAGAGAAGACGAAGCAACATGGCTCCCGGAGGTGGAAGGAAGAGGCTTCACCCCTTTTGAAGCGGTGAAGAGCGGCCGGAGAGGGGGGAAAAAAAAAACAGAAGTCACTAGTGCCTGTCATCGCTTTTATCCTCCCAGCCTCTCCTGAGTCCTATCGGCCTCACCCCTTCTCCCCACCCAAATCCACTCTGTGGTCTCCTCTCCACCCCGCCCTCATCCCCTCGCTCGCTCACCCCTCCCCTCGGGAATCCTTTTCCCGCCCCCTCGCCCCCCGCGGAGTGCGCACGCGCCCGCCCCCAGCTTCGCGCCCAGATCGCCGCCTAACCTGCTCGCGCAGCCGCCGTCTCGTCTGCCCACCGACGAAGCATGGGCGTCCAGGGCTTCCAAGAGTTCCTGGAGAAGCGCTGTCCCGGGGCCGTGGTGCCCGTGGACCTCCTCAAACTCGCGCGCACGGTCTCGCGCCAGCAGCAACAGCACCAGCATCGTCAGCTGCCGCCTACGGCAGCGCTAGCGCCCGGGGCTCCACGCGCCGCCAGAGGCTCCGCGCCTCTGCAACCGCCGCTCTCGCCCGCTGCCTTGGGTGCCTACTCCGGGGGCGCGGGGCCGACTCGGCACCATCACCCCGCTCACCACTTCCACCACCACGGCCAGGCGCACCCTGGGCTGCACCCGCCACCGCCGCCGCCGCCGCCCCCTCCGCTGCCCGGGGCCCGGGTGCTTGTGGACGCGGGCTCCGCGCTTCCGCGGCTTTATGGTGGCTACCAGACGGATTGGGTGTGTGGCGGCCAGTGGAACGCCATGCTGGGCTACTTGTCAGCGCTATGCCAGGCTTGTGCCTATCCCGGCGGCGACGGCCTGGAGCTGGTGGTCATGTTCCCCGGGGGCCTGGGAAAGGACCGGCTGGCCGAATGGGGCCGTCGGTGCCAGGCCGAGCGGCAGACAGCGCAACTGATCGTGGGACACGTGGGCAACAAGGGCACCCCTCCTCCACGGGCCTGGTTCCTGCCACCGGCCTGCCTGAGCCACTGCGTGAGGCTAGCACTCATCCGCTTCCGGGTCAAGGTGAGGGAGGGGCCGGATCTTAAATAATATGCCCCACACCTATTCCCTCCCAGCTAAACACCTAACCACCCACCCACTAACCTGTCCCCCATCTACTCACCGCCTAATCAGCTAATCCACTTGCCTAACTATCCTTTATCATTTTATCCATTTACCCACCCTTTCATACCACCCCCTACCGATTCGCTCTCCAACACAACCATATCTCTACCCATGTCATCCCAATAACTCCCTTTTTACCTTCACTCATCCAGTGGCCTATCTCTGGGTTTTAGCCGAATTTCTATTGTGGCCCCATCTTTCTGCTGTCTTCTGCCTCAAGGTGAAATGCCTTTTTCCAAATTTTTCTAGTTGGCAACCCTCTTCCGTATGTCTCTTCCAACCTGGCAGCAAATCAGTTAAACAGATGTTAATCGAATACCTTTCTTCTACAACTTCCTCCCCCCCCCCCCATTTTGACCGTGTGCGCTTTTTTTTTTACCCATCTGTCCATTCAGCCTTTTTCATTTCCACATGCTTCTATCTCTTCCTGCCTTAGCCTAAACAAATAATAATAATAAAAAAACCCCACTGATTCAGTCACTGTTCAACAAGTATTAGACCACTGAGAGTGAGGGGCTTAAGGGACATGTGAGACATGGTTTCCTGCCCTTGGAAAATCAAATATATAAACATGAAAGATTTATTTAATGGTATAAGTGTGTATGTGATTATGCTTTTTGGTACAGACTGTAAGTACAGTATCTGTGTGTTGGGGGGATATCTGTGGGCTAAAAGGGTCAGGGGAGGCTTCCTTGAAGAAGGTGGATCTCTAGTTCTTCAGGGATGGGTTGGATTTGAATGGATTCTGGGTTTGGGAGGGCTGCTTTTAAGTGGGAGAAAGAGAATCAGTAGAAGCAAAAAGGAATAGCAAGCATGTGAGGCCCCATGGGCAGTTAAGTCCAATCTGCATGTAGTTGGTCACTGCATATGGGGCCTGGAGAACAGCTTGGCAGCATCCCCAGTTCTTGGCACTGCTCCTATTGCTCTGTTGCTTTCCCATACTCTTAGGTTTCAAGTTCTTACGTGTGGGGAATAGCAAGGCTTGAGAAGTAAAGGAGGTGGGCAGGAAGAAGAAAAAGTAGTACAGGGTTGGGTAGGACAAAACCTCAAAACCATTTTCCAACCAAGACTCTTGGGTATGTGGTCACAATTGGAAGACAGGACAGGGAATTGTGAGAATCATAAAGAAATGGTCCTGAGTGGAGTAATGTAGAGGAAAAAAAAATCATCTGAGAGACTGAAAGACCTGCATCAAGAAGCTTGCAGTGGTCATAGAGTTTGTGGCTACAGTCCATTCATGCTAGAACTCCTTGTGCACATCATCAAATCTGTGCCTGGGCTGGATAGATTATAGCTGTTTTTAATAACAAAAAATCTAGTAAAGATCTAGTAAAGAGCTATATCAAACATACAAAGTAGCAAAAGATAATATGACATTCATTTGTTTGCCTTCCTGACTGAACATCTTCAGTAGATTCTTCATTCATGACGATTCTTTGCCTTTTGTTTTCATTGCTACCACCCAAGCTTTAAGGACTTTTTACCTCAGTGTCATTATTAACCTGGTTGCTGGTGACAGTGACTAACTGATGGAATGCTTAGTATGTGCCAGGTGCTAATCTATGTGCTTTAACAACAAAATTATTTCATTTGATCCTCACAATAACCTGTGAAGCAGTATTATCCCTGTTTTCCAAATGAGGAAACTGAGGCACAGGAGGTTTAGAAAGTTGCCCAAAGTCACCCAGCAATAAATGGCAGAGCTGAGATTCTGGGATTCATGCCCAGGCAGTCTGACTCCAGAGCTCATGATCTTAACAGTGGTGCTCTAAGATGAATCTTTCTAAAGTGCCAATGTGGTTAGATCCTTCCCGTACTCACCTAAAATCTTCCCTGGTTCCTGGGTAAAGACAGGTCGGAGTCATTTATTTATATTCATTTATTGCTTGCTATAGTCTAGGTAGTATGCCTATTGCTGAGGATTCAGAGGTAAAAAAGGGTATTCTCTGTACTTACAGAGGTCAGTGTAGTAAAAGACAAAATCAAGTTGCAGATACTGTGAGCTAATCGCGATCAATGAAAACTATGGCCCCTATAGGGGGCATGGTTAATTCTGAATGAAGATTTGAAAGTTGGGGGAGGCTTCACAGATTTGTGCTGAGCCTTGAAAGAGGGCCGGGAAGGATATAGTTCAGGTAGTGGACAAGGGTGTGGAGACCTAAAATGGCCAGCCATGAGATCTGAATGGATTATGACTGTAGGTTGGCAGGAGAGTTAAACACTGAGTGTGGATTTGTGGTTTCCAGACTTTTTTTTTGTTCATGCACCCCATCGATCAAAAGTTTTGAGAAGCAGCCTTACTATGGCCTACCAAAATTCTCTATCACACATAGTCTTATTTTTAAAATCCCAACAGAGTGAAAATGGTAGAATCTCAGTAGTAGGTATCTGCGTGCTTACTGCAAAATTTCAACTTTGCCATATGTTTGAAGTTTTTTGTAATATGATATTGGGGAAAAAATTCCCAACAGTCCTCTTCAGTCCTGAGAACTACCATTTGGGGAATATATAAATCTTATTCCCTATGCTAGATTGTAAACAAATTCTTTGATCTTTTCATATTCTCCGTAATCTTTTGTATATTTTGGGTTTAGGATATGTTTTTTTTTCCCCTGAATGAATAGGTCAGTAATTCTAAGAGAGTGGATTGTAGGATTAAAAAGTGTGTAGTGTGGCTCTTAATATAGTGGATTTAAGACTGGCTCCAAAATCATGTATGTAAAGTATCTGTAGTTGTTATCAGTGAATGAAGTTCTCTTTCCTGGTTCTGGTTGGTGATTTTTGTTGTTGGAGTGATGGAGAGCTTCCTGGTTTATAGTACAGACTTAAAAGGTATTGGTTAATAACTGATCGTGGTTTGCCTTTATAGAGGAATATACCACTCTCTTGAAGATAGCAGTTTTTCACTTGGATGATCTGCATGGTTACCATTTCTTTCAACTGAACTGCTAAGTGCTTCAGAACAAAACCCACTACTTTATTTCTCCTCCCTTTGGTTTTGTTCTTCAGCCTAGGCCACAAAATTGGTCTTTATTCCTAATATCATTTTCATTTGTAATTGAGAAAATAAAGGTGGAGGGATTAAATAAAAGATAAATTGTTGGGTTGTCCGTTTAGCTTTAGACAACATAAGACTTCCCATGAAAAGATTCAGTGTATATTATTGGCGTGAACTTTGTCTTTTGGTTTCACTGGTATGTTCTGCAAACCTTTGTAAGTGGTAGTCGGTAATGGCAGGAAAGTTAAGTAAACTGACCAGTTGCTAGCCTGATATCTTCCTAAGGGTCTCAAAAGTAGAGCAGCCAAAAGCAGTTTTAGATTGTAGTTTGGGAGATGACATGGGGTGGTTCTGGGGATGAATGCTTTGTTTAATGGTTACTGTATATTAGGAAAAAAAAGAGAACACATCAAACCCACCACTTCACAGTTACAATTCTTTAGAATGGGACCAATTAAAGAAAAATGAGTTGATTTAAAGAAAAGTGTTAAGTTGCAATGCTTGGATGTGGCAGAAATCATGTTGGTGGTACACAAACGATCAAAGTTTTGAAAAGTCTGACCAAGAGCTGATGTCATTTTATGCTTCCACAATGGCTGCTATGCTTCTCTATTATTTATTTACCCTCAGTCATAGACACATCCTGAAAAGTCAGTGACACTTTTTTTTTTTTAAGATTTTATTTATTCACTTGAGACACAGAGATACAGAGAGGGAGAGAGAGAGCATGAGCAGGGAGAGAGGGAGAGGGAGAAGCAGGCTCCCCGCTGAACCAGGAGACTGATGTGGGGCTCGATCCCAGAACCCTGGGATCATGACCTGAGCCGAAGGCAGACAACCATCTGAGCCACCCAGGCGCTCCAGTCAGTGACACTTCTAGGCGCTCTAATGGTAGGAAAAATGATTATAATAATAACTACTACTACTTCCTGAGCACCAAGTTGTACATAAAGTGCTTTTTAATATCTCATTTATTCCTCACAAGCTTGCAAGAATGCACAGTATTCTTCCCATTTAACAGTTGAATAACTGAGGTACAAAGAGGTGAAATGATTTTTCTTTGGTCTGTACACTGTTAAGTGCTGGATAAAAATTCTTGTTCCGGGTCTGTGTTGCTTAAAGCCCCTTTCCACAATTCCACCACACTATTTCCTTCTTTTTGTATATTCTTGTGTAAGATTGTGCACTTTTATCGGCCAGATAATATGCATAAATACATGAAGAAAAACAATAAGAAGTCAACTTGTTGAGCACTTAGTTTGTGCCAGCATTGCTAAATGTGCAATATTACCAATATAAAGC